ACTGAGTCCTACCATCGCCTAGACGAGGCAGAGCATCCGTCAGCATCTCTTAAAACAGATCGCTTTCAGAAGGAGATGAAGGAACTATTTAAGAGTTATTACAAAGTTAACAGAAGAAATAGTTCAAGCTATAAATTTGTAGGAAAATCTTCAGAATTCAGGCAGTGAATAACGTAGCTCAGAGAGTGGCGATGATCTGCACACACGGACAAATTGAATGAAACGCAATGAAATAAAGCAGCAGCTGACTGCAATAGGCAGTGCGTCCTCACCAGCTCTCAGGCTGGAGCTCTTCCTCCCATTATGAAGGGAACCTACTGCTGGCAGGAAACATATTGTTCTCCTTGTTCGCAATAGATCTTCCTGCCAAACCTCGTCCCTGAACTCTCCTGTCTCCAGGCTGGGAAAGAAGAGAGAGCGGAACAAAAATCACACACACTTGTAGGACAGGAAACAATGTGAAGACCTTTAAGCGGGGCCCCATTGTTTCCGACAGGCTTAGCTGGGGCTCCGATGGCCCCGCTGCACAATGGGCATCACCACGGGTCGTCAGGACGGGTCCGCGGTGCTCCGGCAATCAGCGACACGACTAATGGTGCAACTCATCATTGTCACAGCCCACCTCTCTAGAACCCTATGTGAAACAGCACCAGCACTTAGCTTTGGATAGTGACGGCATTTCAGGTTCTCTCAAACCCGTTTCAGTACATTCCCGCTTGTTACCACTACTTCTGCAGAACTGGGAATAAAAAAATAATTTCACACAAATGAGTCAGTTAGTGGTGATGTGCAGACACCTCTGAAAGAGAGTCAGAGACACCAGGAAGCTACGTCTGTGGTGATGATATGCTAGCTCCCCCCGAAAGTGAACCCTTTTAAAACGTTAGTGTTGAGCCCTGAAAGCATCCAGTGAAACAAAAGCACTTCAGTCCAGTTCCGTTTCCCTCCCCGTCGTGTACTTAGCATTAGTTAGTTATCACAGCCTCCAGGATTTAGTTTGGCGAGTCAGCGTTACTCAGAACTGCTTACTCCGGCCTAATATTCGGAGCTATGGGATATGAACCCCAAAGCAGGAAGTGAAGCTCACTCTGGTTCCTTCGGATGAAGTTCAGGTTAAGTGCCCGACTTCAAACAGGTTTCTGGTTAACACTGAATAAATAGAGCCATCGCCATCATAAAACGTCCGGGTTAAATGTGTTTATGAAGTTCAGACGAGCTGCTGTGTCGACTGCCTCACTTGACACAATCCCTCAATTTAATTAAATGGACACTAAGCGATCTGGAATCACGTGGCGTTGCCGTTCAAGACTTTTTTTTTTTTTTAATACATATAAATAAAGCAATGTTGATTCTTTTAATGGTCCGTTTCTTCCTTACAAAAAAATAAAACCGAACCGATAAGAGTATCAATAATAGTTCTAGTATGAATAAAATCCTAACGATACCCATCCCTATACTTGACGGATATTATTTTAATATTTGCAGTAGATCTCATGTTCCATAGACTCATTCAGACAATAGTCTGGGTAATGGCGGGTACTAATTCAAAACAAAAAAACTTTGGTGAAAGGAGAAGAAGTCATGTTGCTATGGTCAGCAGACAGAAACAGAAACAGACCTGGAGTAAAGAAGGAGCTGGAGTCTCGGTCAATGCACTGATGGTCCGATACTCCACCACACAGAGCTCTTCCACTTTGAGATGGACTTAAAAAATAAGACAGAGACAGGCGGCATCAATACAGAGTCTGGAAAATACACATCTTTGAACAGAAATCAGCAGTGTTCAGTTTTCCTCTTAAATCCCTCAAAAAAATGATTCCCAATGCAAAAGTGGAAGAATAGTATTCTTAATGATGTATTGGTTTTAAGTCCTAAAAGAATAATATATAAAGAATACATGCTTATAAAGGAGGTGGACGGGTTGAGTCAGATGGCCCCTGTGCACACAGTGTGTCCTCAGGTTGGATCGGATTGGGGTATTGATGCCACTGCATCAAACACCCCAACTGATTAGTGCAACTCATCACTCTCACACCCAGCACCCACGCTGACCTTCCGGATGTGTTGGGAGATACTATGGTGCCTGCTGGGTTTGTGTTTACCTCGTGGTTCCATTTGTGATGAGAGGCAGCTCCATCCAGCCTCATCTTGCTGCAGTGTGTGGACTTCATGACAGTTAGCAGCAACTCCTGCATGAGACAAAACCAAGCAAACCATTTCAAAGTCTGAACACACACCACCAACTAAATGCAAGTTCCTGATGTTTTCTTGTAACATAGCCTGCGGGACGTCAATGGGAGATCAGGAATAAAACCTAAATACGTGTTCAACATGCACATATACAGCTGCATTGATTTTATTTTGAAGGAGACTGCTGCCGTTTCTTATCTCAATTCACATAGTTAGTGAATAGTTAGTGAATGTGTGCGAGCAGCAGCATCACTGTAATGTGTTGGTGAACTGAGTTTACAGAGATGCGAGTCAGCTGTTAACCCATTAAAAAATGTCAGCCTATGTTAAAGAAAGACCGACAGTAGAGTTTTTAGCAAAACATGGACTTGTAAGTATTTATTTACTGAAGTCAAAGGTAAGACTGTGCTTAGTTTGTGGAGAGCAGATCGCAGTGTTGATGGATTAGAATCTGAATCTCCATTACGAGAGGAAAAACACGGAGAAATACTAAAACGTGACTGATGCAGAGCAGACACGGACATCTGAGGCTTTGATAGCTAAGCTGCTAAAGCAACATGCTCAGAAGATGTTGGTTCTCTTTGGATCGACCTCCATATGTGAACAAACATTCTCCGTGATGAAGTTTAACAATCCAGATCCTCTCTCACCGACGATCACCTGTCAGGTGTCCTTCACTTCTCACCTCACACATTCAACCTGACTTCAGTCACTCGTTCACTGAACTGACAAACAGAAAATGAGGTCATTGACTACAAACAATAGTGATGAAAGAACTAATTTTGCAGAAGCATGTCAGTCAACCCTGTCAGTGTTTTATGATTATATATGGATATTAAATATGTATATTTGTTTGGATCATTATTCCTGCTGTAGATGTTTTAGGTGGAGCTTATTTTAACTCCTTTGTCATTTTGGTAGTTTGGAAGGATTTGAAAAATCATATTGTGCAAAGTAACTAAAGCTACAATATTTCCCTCTGAGATGTAGTGGAAGTACAAAGTTGAATAAAATAGAAATACTCAAATAAAGTACCATGAATTTGTACTTAAGTAAATATATTAGTTACATTCCACCACTGATCATATTTACTCTTACCACTCACAGCTTATCAAAACCATACAATTTACTTTTTATAAAGATTTACTTTTTAATAGAGCAGGACTGAGTTCAGTCTATTGGTCTGTTTCTTATGTGGCCCCCCTGGTGTTTGTTAAAATCATATTTTTTGGCAAATTAAGCAATTTAATATTACGCTAATTAAACAAACCCATAATATATAAAGAATACATGCTTATAAAGAGGTGGACGGGTTGAGTCAGATGGCCCCTGTGCACACAGTGTGTCCTCAGGTTGGATCGGATTGGGGTATTGATGCCACTGCATCAAACACCCCAACTGATTAGTGCAACTCATCACTCTCACACCCAGTACCCACGCTGACCTTCCGGATGTGTTGGGAGATACTATGGTGCCTGCTGGGTTTGTGTTTACCTCGTGGTTCCATTTGTGATGGAGAGGCAGCTCCATCCAGCCTCATCTTGCTGCAGTGTGTGGACTTCATGACAGTTAGCAGCAACTCCTGCATGAGAGAAAACTAAGCAGGCTAGCGTTAGCCATGCACACAACGTGGTCAATTAGTTACACAACCAGTCTTAAAAACTCAAACGTAAAGAGGTAAACTGGCCTTTGTGGACTATTGGCTACCAATAATTAGTTTTCGTCAACATTGCAAACAAACAGTAACGGTGGTTGGAACAAAAGCAAATATTACGTTAGCCGAGTTAGCTTAACAGTTAGCTAACGCTAGCTGGTGAGCTAACGCTAGCTGGTGAGCTATAGTAGCGTCGTACATTCGCTTCAGTTTCTCAAAAATGACACTTTCCTTCCTAAAAGTAAAACAGTCAAAACAAAAGCACCACATATAAACGTACACAAAGCAGACGAGGTAAGTTATCTCGGTCCTTTCTTTCTTCTTCGTACATTTTGCTGGCGCAGTCTGTGTGATCCAACCGTTTTCTTCTCAATCAAATAAGTGCGGTTCGTAAAGCTCATCGCTGATTGGCTCAAACACCGGAAAATGGGGGACGTTTATTGGACAGTGAAACCTGTTTCCGGTTGAACCACCAATGACAAGCTGTATATCCGTCACATGCACACACTTGCTTCACTAGACCTCTGCGCAGTATTTTACGTACCAGTAATCATCCTGTAAATACACATGGTGTTTTTTTTGATGATCAGTACAGATCCTATAAAATGCTTTTTGTACAATACACCCAATGTATGTTGTCTGCAATTAACTGCTTCATCCTCTTTCAGCATCCTGTCTCTTCTACCGCTGTATGAATGACATCTCTTTTTTTTGTGTCTTTGTGCGTTTGTGAAGTCTGTCCTCTTTCCCGGTCATGGTGGTCCAGAGTAGATTCACATTATTCACTCCAGACACGGCAACACTCTGCCTGATACTCCTCAACTTATTACACTTAATATTTACTTGATATTAAAATGTTATGTACCCGACTTATTTTGTCATGTTATGACATTATTCTACTGAAACTATGCAACATTTTATACTGTAATTACTATTTTGTCTGGTTTCTTGAGAAGGGATCCCTCCTCTGTTGCTCTAAACTGGATGACTTGGCTTCATGCCTCCAAAACCCAGATTCTCTGATTACATCTTTGCTCCCATTGTTATTTCTGTAATTATCTGCAGAACCAGACCTCTATTTTCCTTTATTGCTAAATGTTGATTGTGTCTGGTGAGGAAGGCATTTGTCTGTGTAAATAGATGAGTGAGCCAAATGTTCCATTGAAATGCAAATGCAATTTTATATTAAAAGATAGCAAAGGGATCATTCACTATATCACACAACACAGCTTGTTAGTACTGCCATGGAAATACATATACAGTCTTTTCATATTTACACATCAAGTGACAACCAAACAAAAATCATAAATACCTCTTTTTGTTAACTTTACAACAGCTATACGCAACCAGTATTTCATAAGATAAAAGAGCACTATTAAATAACTGGCATCTTCCCTATCATTTACAAGGCTTGGAAATACAGTGGTTAAAATAATCCAGCGAAAACAAATAAAAACCAAAATGTTCTTCTCCAGTGAGTAAAATTAGTCTAAAAACGGTCATGAAATCCCTTTGTACAAAAGACTATACAACTTAATCAACACAATATCTTCAACAGAAATGTTTGCTTGTATCCGCATGATAAAATCTGTACACTTTTAGCATTCCTGCAGCAGAGTTGGAGGGACTGTGAGCCGGGATGATTGGTTACTGGGTCGCTGTGATGCTCTGTGGGCCTACTGTCAACCAACCGTCAGAGACCGTAGTTATGTAGCTGCCAAGACCCTCTTTCATTGGCCTCAGTGCTTCGTCTAGCAGCAAATCAGCACGTTGCTGAGCTTGTAGCAGATACTTCAAAAATACATGGTTCTATAAAGTCTAACCGATATATTTGTCAATATAGCAATATAGTATTTCCTCGTACCATTTCTCAACAACAGACAGAATGGTACTCTAAAAGTTAAAGCAATGCATAATATCTTTACTCATATTAAATTCATTTTTCAGTACGTTGTCAGTGATACATTTCTAAACTATAACCCTCACTGTCTGATGGGGTCAGACATGCACAGTGTTCCTAAGTTATGCATTTGTTGTACTGAGCTGTGGCCGATACTGCAAGAGTTGATGGATCAAAACTCAAATTACAAAAAAAAAAAAAATACAAATGTTCTCGTTTCCCTCTAGCAGTGTTTCGCCATGCAGATACTTTTGGTTGTATGCGCCAGGTTTTTGATAAATTCACCTCTGAAACTTCGCCCTACTCCAACACAATACAGAGCCCAAATGACAGTGGAACTCTTGTGATTATGTTCCAGAATTAAGAAAATCGAATTAATTTGTAGTGACACAAATATCTAAAAATCGAACCCGACAACATCATATTGTTGTTTATTGAATACTTACACTTGTACCAGCCTTTAAACTGTTGTCCGTGGTGTAAGAATGGACAGGGAGGGCCAAATGATGTATTCTGTAGGCAGCTAAGGCGACAGCCAATACAGTTGGAGAGGTGTCATTAGTAGAGAAGAGTTATTTTATTAATGAATTGTTGATAAAATCAAAAGAGTTTAAAAGTCTAATAGCAAGTGCTGTTGTAGATAATCTTTCATCTGGCTAGAAAACCTCAGGAACATGTTTGACATATTTTTAGAAAGACCGATCAGAGAAACACTCAATGAGAGATTGCACTGAGAGGGAAGATCCCCAAAAAACCCCTCCAGTGTTTTGGGGCATCAGAAATGTCTAACAGCTGGGTAAATAAAACCAACACTATCTGCATGGCTGAATAGCCCTAGTGGTACATGTCTGAGAAAATACGCTTTTCTGAGATTTGGGTGACCAAACCAGAGTTTTTTTTTTTAAATGTCACGAACATTTTAAAACCTCCGATAGAAAATAATTCTACAGCTGAAGGAGGAAAAAGAACGCAATGTTTGGCACTTAGGGCTGTTACTTCATCATGGCTTCCTCTGCTCGGCCCGAGGATCAGCAATGGTTGAATTACAACTTTTAAAAAAAATGAATAAATGAAAAAAAAAGGGCTCCTTTAAGATTACATTTGCAAAGGATGAATGGACTTCTGCAACCAGCTGAGAGCACCAGCTACAGTGCAGCCTTGCTGTTGGAGGCTGTAAAACAAGGAATCAGAAGCAGGGGGCGTCATCACTGAGGGCAAGTCAGGGAAGTCAAACGAAACTAACATCCCGTAATTAAGATACATTGCTATTGAAGTGTAAATGCTGAAAGAAGCATGGGGACTCTGAAGCCCCACCCTTTGGCACTGTCATAAATACAACTTGTGAATACCGGGTCCGGTTCTAACACAACACTCTCGCCGTTTTTTTTCCCCGAAAGTCAGCAAACCCACTCCACAAGTACAAAAAACGTTCATAAATAGAGTTCATAAAGACATGAGTGGCATTAGAGAGCGTCGCGGTTACGTCGTCCAGGTAGTACGTCGTTCTAGTGTCGTCCAAAAAAAAAGAGAAAAGTTCACAAAGAATAAAGGTGAAGTTGTACACAGAGAAGCGTTTGTCGCATTGAGAGTCTGCATCCTTTAAAAAGGCTCCAGATAACGCTCGTGTCTCTCTGTTCACTTCCTCCCCAGAGTCCTTTGCTTTCTTATTCCAGCATGCTCATTAGTTTATCATTTTTGCCTGAAGGCAGTAGCACTGAGGGTACTGTTGGAGGACTGTACTGCATGTGTATGTGTGTATGTGTGTGTGTGTGTGTGTGTGTGTGTGTGCAGAAGTAGGACGGAGCCCCAGTTTCAGAGACAGGAGTTGTGTTTATGGAAACTTAGTTGTGTCTAACTAGGTTCATTTGTACCATTCCTACAAATGCAACTGTTGCTCTGTTTGTACCTTTTTATCTTTGTGTGTTTGTACCAGCTATAATTACAGGTGTGTGTGTGTGTGTGTGTGTGTGTATTAGGTAACGGAGGTTGAGACGAAGCGTGGAGGGCAGGGGGCGTCCCTCACACCTCGCTCTCGGTGGAGGGCTTGCGCGTGGAGACCCAGCCGGTGTCGGGGAGGCTGTGCTGGGCATGGCGCTGAGGGGTGATGGCCGAGGGGGTCAGGGTGGTTATGGAGGAGCATTCGGACTCTTGGAGGAGCTGCTCCGTCTCGCCGTCGTCTAGCGAGGCGCTGCTGGCCTGCAGGGACACGGTGTCCGTGCGCATGCAGGTGTGCAGGCCACCCCGGGATGGCTTGATCTGTTTGAGGTCGTCCCAGTAAAGCTCCTCGTTGGACAGCAGGCACACGCCCTCCACAATGCGGATCTTCTCCTTGGTGTAGCCTCCGTCCACTCCCCCCTGGACAACGAGAGACGAAGAGTTATTCGGGGTGATGGCCGCTGTATGAGCAGTTTAAAAAGGGATATCCACCTTCAGGTACTCATTAATAGTCAATTGGTGATTCATTTTTGTTTTCAGTTTATTCACTTGACAGATGGCCTTGTTCTCCTATATTTCTTTAATACAGTCACATTTCTTTCTCTCTTTCACTCCCCCCTTTAAAGAATAATTAGAGGTTACATTTCTGCAACACAAACATCACCAACACTTTAAACAGTTCAACGTGTTAAAGGTGGATTTCCCTTCAAGGATTAATCAGCAACCAACTGCACAACACTCCAGGACAAGATGTCGCCTTCAAACTCAACCCATGCACAGCAAATTGTCTCCGTTTAGTAATGCTGCACTTTCCTCTGGAGTTAGTTTCTCATTTTCAGATTAAGGTGCCACAGCTATATAATTATCATTAGCAACTAGATTCACTGCCTTGCGGTTGTATGCCGCAGGGCAGTGATTCTAGTTGCTAATGATTCAGTCTTTTATGGAGCCTCCCAGCAAAAGCATTTAGCACGTGAGTAAATAAACATCTTCTAATAATTCTAATCAGTTCATCCTCGAGTGCAATTAGACCTTATTGCCCAATTTGAAAAAAAATCCCTCCAGGATATTCCTGAGTTCACGAGAATGCATCGGACGGACAGACGAACAAATAACCCAAAACACAATGCCTCAGACCACAGCTGACACTAAGATGTAAACCTAACCTGGAGTCAAATGTACTGGATCGCTTTATGGCACAAAAACAAGGAGATGGTGTTATTTTTCCAGCGCAGATGGAGTCAAGCTACAGTGTGTATATATAACACCCGCGGACAAATCATTCTATGTCTGTTGTTAGCAGGAATAATTTGAACAGTGTCTCTTCATCTCCAGCATGGAAAGAAACACACACAGCGTGGCACCCCTGTTGAAGCAGAGGCAAAACGACCCAAAGCAGTAAGCTTGCTCGGAACTGCCGCTTTTTACAAACAGCCTTCAAGCAGTCCAGCCATAACGTGTCCAGTATTTCAGAGGAGTCTTTCCAACAGCTGGTGCGATGGGTTGCAATAAGCAGGGCATTGGAAATGGACTCGGCCTTATACGCATAAAAACAAAAAGCAGACATCCTTTAGGTATTCTCTCTCTTTTGACGAATCTTACCTACAGTGGGAACTAACTGGACTTATGGGAAATGTAGTGCTTAGTTTAAGAAAACGCTATTTGTAGCACATTTGACAAATGTATCCGTACACTTGGATTTCTTGCCTTCGACAAAGAAACCTGCCGTGCTACTGATCGCAGAGCTCTGACGCTGCACCGACGAGATAAATTGTTATTTTCGAAAGCAGGGTGCATGCAGTGAAAGACAGAAGAAGTGAGGGGAAAACAAAGAAGCAACAGAGGACGCCACTCCTTCATGCTGTGTAACTACCTCTCCGCGGGACAAGTGGGTCAAAAGATAAAGGGAGAGAGGGAGTTGTAGGGATGAGAGTGCTGCAGGGAGGAGAGAGAGAGAGAGAGAGAGAGGAGGGGGGAGAAAAGGTGAGCGCTGCCGTCGGTAACCTGCTCGTGTCATATGTTGCAATATTACAACACAATCAATCAGACAAACAGTAAAGTCATTTGTCTCTGTGGTTACCCACCGTACGCCTCCATAGTCTGGGACCGTCCTATGGAATTAACATGGATTCACCTTCAATCCATTCATATATTAAACAAAAGAGAAAACATCTGTCGTTTTCACTTCCAGGCTGTTCGTTACCTCTTTCTTATATCGAAGCTGGTTGTATATTGGAGGCTTTTGCGACGCCTCAATCTTGACCTCTTGTGTGGACGTCCGATACGAGGGGTTACTGTAGGTCAGGTTGCTCACTCCCGGGTCAGCGAACTTCGACTTTTTATGTCTGTCGTTGAACAACAGGAAGAAAACAGCACATGGCTTGATAAATCAAACTGTCCACTGTAACATTTCTATTTACAATCAACACTTGAAATGACGAGGTAGTACAAACTGTAAACCACACTTTGGTGTTTCATTTTCACCTCTTTACTTAAGATTTCATACAAAATGTACCAAAACACTGGCAATGAGGAAGATCTTGCGTAGATAATAACAAAAATAAATATATTTTTTTTAATTAAATCATACCCTCTAAACTAAAAAGGCAATTGAATTGACATCCAACACTATTACTAAGCTTATTTACAATATATTTAGCCAAGGCAGATCTATAGAGGGAACCATAAAGTGCATCTTTGTGTTCAGGAGTGAGAACATTAAGAGTTGTCACACGGGGGGGGGGACTGACCTGTAAATGATCAAAGCAGCAATGAGGATCAGTATAGCCAGGATGGTCAGAACTCCGCCAATCACGTAGCTGATGTGAAGTCCTTCCCCTGCAACAGATGGCACAGATGTTACAGACGGGAGTGTTCACAGAGAAAATCCAGTGGCTTTGCTTAAAAGATCACAGAGTTGTTTGCTGATTTACCCAATTTCAATTTCATCTCAGTACAGAAACAGTTCTGATGGTGTTTATCCTAGCTTATCTGGCATTTATGTTCCTGTATTTACAAACTGTCAGGGTTCACGTCATCAGAAACTCAACACTGAATGAACTATGTCCTCAAACTGAGTGACAGTTATATGACTGCAGAGTTGGCCCTGTGAGGGTTAAACATACTGTGCTTTTTGTAGATATAGCACTATAAACTTACCATATTGATTTATTTGTTGTCGTTTTGATTTAGTTGTATTTGTTTGCTCTTTGTAATTGTGTTTTTTGTTAAAGTGCCATATGAATTAAATAAGTTGTATTATATCATTATTACATCACTTCATCTGCATTTCATAATGCTTTGATGACAGACTCTGGCGTCCATATTTGTTTTTCAGGCACGTCTGTATTATTTGAGCCAAGTCAAGTATATCACAGGTTTTCAGAAAAGAAAAAAAGAAAAACACAGTTTGCCAGTTGTAATTGCCTGGCGGTCGATTGAAATGATATTAATAACTTGGAAACTGGTAATTACTTAAACCTCCACATGACATAACTGTGGCATTAGCAATGCTAGACTGGAAGAAGGGCGAAACTTGAGTGAATTTCCAAAATGTCAGACCTGAATGTCAGTGTCCCTTTAAGACGACATGCAGTGTGCAAACTGAAGAGGAGAGAAGTGTCTCGTGTACTGACCGTGAGGAGCCGTCACCACGTTGCTCAAGCAGCCTTCTATGTTTAGGTTCTTGTCAGTGCAGCTGTGAAAACAAGACAGAAAGCTTGAGAAAGGTACTTTGCTCTAAATATCCTAATGTCAGCTGTAAAAGCCTCTGTCCTATTCCTGCTGGTTGAAAATCTCATGGTGTGTTCTGTTAAAGATGAACAATTGCATAACACTCACTGGAGTGTTTTCACGTGGGATGAAAGGCTTCAGAGCACTCAAGATTTTTTTGAGCGAGGACAAGCAACTTCATATCTCCAATTATTGCTATTTCTTAAGAAGAAGTCCTTCAAATTAGATGAACAAAGTCTAAAAGAAGTACTCAAAACAGAAAATCCGGCAGCATCTTCTGTGGACAACATGCTGCTATTTGAATCATGCTTTAAAGAAATGAGGGAACATGTGGGATAACATGAAAGTAATTTGAGATATGTTCACAGGGTTGAGTTATCAATTACATTTTGTATCACAAATAACTTCAAAAAAGGAATTTTCCTGGTAAAAATGTACCAGCAGACATACTTGACCGGTGAGGATCCTCCGAGCGGAGTGTCTGTTGGAGCTTTGGGGATCTTGTTGGGGACAGGAGTGCTACTGGTCCCTCTGGCAGGAGAGGTGGGGATGTAACCTGCAACTGATGAACACATGCAGATCACAACCTGAGTGTGCAACAGAATTGTAAATGTATTTTATAACTGGCGCTAGGATAAATACGGAAGTCCTGAGAGGAAAGTGAGAAATGATTTCTTCCGGTGATCCATTTTCTAAATTTCTAAATCGTTTTCTCTCCAACATTTATGACTTCAGTGAGGATCCTCACTTCCGAACCGGTGAAAACCAGTTCTTTAATCATTTTTACAACAAACCCTTTAATAAAAATAATTCCGACAAAAATGAGAATAAAAAGAAAAAATAATTACATTGCAAATTTTTTTCACAGAATACTTTTTTTAAGGAACTTTGAAAAATGATGCTGGAAACATCTCTTTGTCACTTGTTCTAAAGTCATAAACGCAGGAGAGAAAACAACGTAGGTCAGGCTTACAGAATGGATCACCAGATTTCTTTTTCCTCACTTGCTTCCTCAGATAATTCTGCTATGAAAAGTTCTGATGGGCCAAGAGATTCAGCTAAAACATGCAAACGCGTTGGTAAGGTTCATTTTGGTGAAACATTAAGAAGTCAGCAGATCGAACAGCCACACAGCACAACCACAGTGGTCACTCACTGGTGGAGCAGGGTCGCCCATCCGGTTCATCGGGGCAGGCGCACACAAAACTGTTGGTCTTAGCGAAGCAGAGGTGAGTGCAGCCGCCATTATTTACCCCACAGAGATTGGTACCTGAATGAGAGGAGAGGGGACGTTCACAACGTTTTTACACAAGGAGACAACCGATTTTCAACATATAATATTCAGTATTGGTCATACTGCCAGACCGATCATTTCACCACGAAGCACTGAGTGACTGAATATTAGCCTGCCATATTTCAAGCTCATACATCCGAATTAGCCTCTGCTGCTGCAGCACTTTACCACCCGAACACTTACAGATAAACATGGCCTTTGGCGTCTCCCAAGTCAAGCTGGAGGTGTGAGGAGAAAAGCGTCCTTACCTGTCTGTCTGTGAGGCGATACCACTATAATGTCCATGAGGCCCTCCACGCTGGCCAGCACGGTTTCCTTGTTACGGCCTGTGTGCTTGTCCACCCGCTGGATGGACTTAGTCTGCCAGTCCGTCCAGTAGATCCAGCGGTCTTGCTGCGAGAGTCGGGAGAAAGGGGTTAGAGGGGAGGACACCGGCTTCAACTGGGGAAACGAGGGAGAAGAAGAGAGGAGAGGAAAAACACAGACAAGGAGAAGGGGGATGGGAGGAAGAAAAGGGGAGGGAGAGAAGAGGAAGAAAAATGAGGGTCAGAGTGGAAGAGAAGTAGGAGAAATGGTTAAGTCGAATGGGTTCAGCATGAGTTGGAGGACGGAGAGACGACCAGTGGGGAGGGTCACACGGTGAGCCGATGACTGAGATAGAGCAGGTGAGTGGAGGAGGCAGCCAGGAGGAGGGTCCAGCCCAGTGATTGACAGCTGAGGGTGAGGAGGGGTAGAGGAGGGGGTACCTGCGTGAGGGCGAACGGGTGGGACACCGGGCTGACGAGGATCTGGCGCAGTTTCCCATTCAGGTCCGAACTCTCGATCCGGTCCAAGTGCGCGTCCACCCAGAAGATCCTGCAGAGTCATAAACACACTTCTGTCTGTAAATACACTGTGCATGCCGTCTGACTGACACTGTAAAAACAAGAGTTTAATAACACTGTGAGATTGTAACATATATAAACTATATTCAGTTGTTATACAATAATAGTCAGTTGTATAATCTTCATGCCTCTCTACTTGTCTTATGGATCTACTTTCTGACACCGCAGTGGTGGCCTGATTTCCCCACGGGGATAATTGGAATCATGAAGCATTTAATTTCCTTCCACAGACACGCTTCTCCCTCTCTGACCTTCTTGTGTCGTAGTCCAGCGTGAGACCGTTGGGCCAGCCCAGGTCGGTGTTGATCAGAACCTTTCGGTCCGAGCCGTCCAGGTGAGATCGCTCGATCTTTGCAATGTGACCCCAGTCGGTCCAGAACAGGTACCTGTAGCGACGAGGCGAACAAAGTTGAAAATTCCAAACTAAAACAAATAACTCCACGCGATGTTTTGCCGTCTTTCTGCTGATACCTCGCTTTAAGTCGTTTATTAACAGCTCCAAAAAAAGAGAAAGTTGCTCAAGAAATTTCTTTCAACAAGCTCAAAACCCAAATTTTTATTTGAGGGTGGAGCCCAGTCCCCTGTCTTACCCTTTGCTCGGGAACACTGCGATGGCTCGGGGTTCATCCAAGCTGTTGTTGACCAGGACTTTGCGGCAAGTTCCATCCAGGCGGGCCACCTCGATGGTGTTGCGCCCCGTGTCGGTCCAGTACATGTTCCTGGCCACCCAGTCGACCGCCAGCCCATCTGTGGTCTTCAGGCCCTGGCTGATCACCGTCTCCATGCCACTGCCGTCTAGGTTTGAACGCCTACAGATCAAAGTAAAGGGTGGACATTGTGGACATGGGGCGACCATCATATCAATTCTCAAAGTCTCACTGTTCTTCCTTTCTCTACAAAATAAAAAAATCACAATTTATTATTGATAACTGACTGTTTGATTAATACACATTATAAAATCGTGATTAATGTAATCAAAGCTAAAACATAAAGGGCATTGGAGTTTGCATGTAGACGTCGCTTGCGCTCGCACCGTATGACATCCAGGGTGACGTCGGTGTAGTAAAGCTTTCCGTCCACGCTGTCGTAATCCAGCGAGATGACGTTGTGCAGCTCGGGCACCGGCACGTGCACGTCGGTGTGGTCGTTGGTGTCGAGGGAGATCCTGCGCACGCTGACGCGGTTGGAGAAGAGCAGGTACGACTCCGGGGAGTCGTCACACGACCTGCCGTCTCCCTTGAGCAGGATGCCGGTGGGACAGGCACAGGATGTGTCGTTGGGACGGGGCAGGCACAGGTGGGTGCAGCCCCCGTTCCTCCGGCCGCACTTGTTGAAACCTGAAGAGGCCAGAGACAAAAGGAATGACGCAAAGAGACACAGACTTCAAATAAAACAAAAACACAGACACTTTGCAACACGAGAATCTGTCTGCACTCAAAGCGGATTTTTGTTTACACAGAGATGTCTTACTGTTTCTTGGCAACATATAATTACTTGTCAATCACCCAGAGAGATATTCATAATATAATCAGCTATAATGAGGATTATCGAGTAAGGATGAGACTGCCGAAAACAAACTGCAAACAAACAAAATAAACTGTGTAGAGAAGGTCATGCGATATTGACAAGTGGATGGAAATGGATGAAATGAGCAGTATAAATAGATGGAAGCAGGTTTAGTTCATATATTTATTAGCAGCAGTCACACAGCAGACAGTTAACTAGGAGTGACCCCGAATAGTCGACTAAGATTCGATCTAAGGAGCCTGATTCAGCAGCCAATCTCACAGTAGAATTGTCGCAGTGGCAGAAAAATGATGGAAACTGGATCATTCCATTCGAGCTATATGGGGGTGCTGAATGTCTGATTTTACATAGTATTGCTTGTTTTTCTCCAAATAAATCATGATATGTAGCCTATTTCGGTTTGGTAGGTTTTAAATATCGGCCTGTTAATATTACTGTTAAGTCACCATGTATGCTTTATCCACATTTGCCGGACCATCGGAGCAGACGTGACTCACCCAGTGGCCTCTCCCTGTCCACAGCCTGGATGTCCATCAAGCCCGGCAGGTTGGCTCGCACCGTGATGGTGTTGGTCCCGGTTTTCTTGTCAGCTCGCTGGATGCTGCGGCTCTGCCAGTCAGTCCAGTAGATGTGGGACCCCAGCAGGGTCAAGCCGTACGGGTGCTGGACCGGAGACACCAGGGTGCGGCGATTCTGCCCGTTCAGGTCGGCCGCCTCGATGCGCTGGAAAAGGACCAAGAGAGATTTAAGGGATTACCACCATGACTCCATAATGTCTGATGCCTTCGTGAGGTTTAAATCCACGCGAGTGTCACCGGGAGTCACAGCTCACCTCAGTGTGAGCGTCGGCCCACAGCAGCTGCGAGCCGGCCATGTCAATGGCCAGGCCGTTGGGCCAGCCCAGGTTGTTGCTGATGAGGACCGTGCGGTCTGTACCATCCATCGCCGAGCGCTCCAGCTTAGCGTGCTCTCCCCAGTCTGACCAGAACATGTAACTAGAGCGGAGAGAGAGCAACACGGAGGTCAAAAGGTATCAAAAGTGTGAGGAGACTGAAAGTAGGATATAAACTCTTCGCTGAAGTAAAATTCACACCGTGAGATCTAGTTTCATCTTTGACAGTGTAATCTGAGGTTTTGAACCCAATGCTCTGAAAATGTAAAAAAAGCCGTCACGCTATCGCAGCCTCACCCCATCTCGTTGTAGAGGGCGATGGCTCGAGGGCTGTCCAGGTTTTGCCAGACGAGAACTTTCCTCATGGATCCGTCCAGGTTGGCCACCTCGATGCGGTTGGTGCCCGTGTCCGTCCAGTAGATCTTCCTGCCGACAGCATCCACCGCCAGGCCGTCCGTTGTCACCAACCCTGCAGAGAGAGACACATAGAGAGGCGGAGATGGAGTCGTGACGCTCTGACAGGGTGGAGCTAATCAGCATCGAGCTTGTGAGCCATCCTCCTCACCTGTAGCTACGATGTCTTCTTGCTCTTTTCCGTCGATGTTGGATCTGCTGATTTTCTTCAGCGTACTGTCGGACCAATACACTTTTCCTGCAGGAGGCGCCACATACATATGTAAGGACTCCATTTCTGCATCATTTTCTTTTTTAAAAAGAGCCGTTACAAAACTCTGAGAAGAAACACAAACCTTCTTTTGGGTCGACCCCGATGGCGATGGTGTTTTTCATGGAGCCATTGACGGCCAGAACCACATCGGCGTAGTAGGGGATGTCCAAAGAAACCATCCTGATGTCCGTCCTCCGTGCAAAGATGAGGAAGCTGCTCATCCCTGCACACACACACACACACACACACACACACACACACACACACACACAC